GGATGTAAATATTAGAAAAAAAGAGGCATATCAGTTTTTGACATAGTGGAATCATATCTTCCTGGGAAAAGCAAAAGCATGAGCTGAAAATTTATTAGACCTCATGAGAATGAAGGACACTGCACAACTATGAAATAGTGGTACAATTTCTATAAGTTAGTTATTTTCCTACAAAGGAAGCCCTGCAGATCTCAGCCCTATTAATTTACAACCACTGTTCCAAGTTCTTTAAAATATTAACTCACTTACTCCTATCACAGTTATGAGCAGCTTCTGTCATTATCTTTATATCCTAACCCCCGTCCCACAGAGGAAGATGCTGAGGCCTGCAGGGGCTGAGGGACTTGTCCAAGTTCACCTGCTCTCTGGGTGGCCCGGCTAGGACTCCCATCTTAGAGTCCAGACCCACAGCCTGTGCACTGACCTCCACACCTGCCTGGCTGCCTTTCAGCATTTTGACAAACTGGTTAGAAAACAAGTTACAGTAATCCAATTGAATTCAACAAAAATATGAACACCCTAGGAATAAACTTAATGACAAATGGTGAATCTGTATGAAGTAAAGTACACGTTTTTATTGAGAGGCACTTAAAGGAAATGGGAGTAAATGAAGAGAAATAAGTTTCTTGGCACAGAATATTAAATATTTGAAAGATTTTGATCCTGTGTAAGTTAATCCACAAACCTATATGATTTTAATCAGAATCCCAAAGGGATTTTAAGAGGATGTAAATAAATTTAAAATAATGTTGGATGAGTAAACCACCAACAAAAGACAGGAAATTGTTGAAAATGAGCAGAAAGCACAATTCAGCAGGAGTTATCTATAGTCCTGTGACCCTGACTGTGCCAGTCTTTGTCTGACCTCAGAAGCTAAGCAGGGTTAGGCCTGGTTAGTATTGGGATGAGACAAAATTTAGCAGGTTCTTAGAAAGCAAGAATAATTAGGCAACTAAATTTATAAATCAAAACAATATCTTTATGACAGCAGAACAATAAAAATAGAAAATGTATAATGTCTAAAAATATACCCCAAATATTCTATTATTAAACAAAGTTGGATTTTTAAACAAGTGGTGATAGGAAATGAATTATTCACATAATTGACAAAAAGCAGGATATTGTGACTATTTTGAAAACCTGAAAATTAGATCTCTACTTCATTCCTTGTAAGAAAATAAATAATTTAAATTTATCAATTTATAAATTTATTGAAACAATACAAGTGTTCAGAAGAAAACATAAAAAAGTATTAACTGGGAGAAATGTTTCCAGTTTAGGGTGCAGGCAGAGGATATTCAAAGGACATGCAAGGTGAACACAGGTAACACCCACATGTAGACCAGACCCAGCCTGGCCATAGGTGGTCTGGGGGGAAACCAACCCCCACTCTGAAAAGAATTGTGGTGAAAGCTTCACTGTCAAGTTCATACTAAAAATTAAGCCAAAGACAACTGAATTCAAGGAGAGCCTTTCAGGTGATTCTCAATGAGTGAGAGAAATCAAAGCACAGAAATGTCAAGGGCCCCTCTGGGCTCAGTATGGAGCTGTCTGTGGGTCACAGGGCTGAACACTGACCCGCAGAGCACAGCCAGAGTCGGAGGGAAGGTGGAGCCCACTGTGGGTTCAACTCATTGGAAAAGGAGAGGTGGCTTTAGTGGGCTCAAGGCAGGGAAGGGGGCCTTCTAGACTAGGGCTAAGTGGACAAGCAGAGGTGAGAAGGGGCCTGGGAAAACGTCAGGAGCTGAGGGATGTGGCAGAAGCAGCAAGGTGGGTAGCCCTCCAGAAGTGATGTCATACCAGAAGTGATGTCAACACCCACCCGCCCTCTGCCCTCGCTGTGCACCTGGCTGTTCCTCACTTTGCTTCTATAGCTTGAGCACGTGCCTGTCTCCACAAAACCAGATGGAGGTGAGGGGTGGGAGTCTGCAGAGCAGCAGTTTCTCATCGGCCAGCCTCAGAAGGGCAGGATGGCAGCATGTGTCACCACTAATACCCCACATAACAGCAGTGCAGTGTCCCCATCTTTCATGTGAAGGACAACCTGGACTTCCCTCCGTGCTGTCCTGTTAGAAAACACAATTTAATGAGCATGGTGCTCCGAGGCTCCTGGGCCCAGCTGAGGCCATCTGCAAATGACCGTAGGCACTAGACCACACCCAGTCTAAGGGCTGGAGGAAGGCCGGTCTGAAGAGGACTGGAGGTGAGGTCACCTGCAGCTACTGTGCAGGGTCACTATGGTTGCAGAGAGGACACACACCCACATGAAGGAAGATAATGAAACATTAGCTTTGAGGCACCCACCCCAGACCGACCCTTTCTAAAGCCGAGGGCCAGCTTTGTATCTGTACTTATGATATACTGTATCTTAAAGGGTGTCCTCTGTATTGTCAAAATGCTGGGCCACACCAAGCCTAGATCCCCTCCAGAGGGCCACAAGAGGGGTGCCCTTCTCTGTGACACACAAGGGAGCAGTGTCCTGGGCCCTGGGACATACTGACATACTGATTTTTTTTTTAATGTGCATAGGAAAAAAAAAATCAGGAAGGAAAGAGTACAGGAATTGATTTTTCCTTTGGAAGCTGGAGGAGGTGGAGGAGGCAGGGTGTGACTGTGGAAGTGACAGGTGGCTGGATGGAATTCCACTTCCAAAGGCATCAACTTGGAAAGTACTTGGGGTCCAAGAGTCCCTTCCTCTGTGGACAGGCTCCCTCGTGGGGGTGCAGGGTGATGCTCACGGCATGTGCAGGAGTGAGTGGTATGTGTCTGAGTCAAGCACCAGGTGGGGGTGTGGCTGAAGGCAGGGCAGGTGTGTAAGGACTGGTGACCCTAGTGACCGGGGCTGGGACTGAGAAGCAACTGTGAGTTGCTGTGTCACATTCTGTGACCTTTATTAAACTTGCCCACTGGGATTCCCATCTCAGCCAGAATGTGCCATCCTCTGTGTTATCTGAAGACATAATCTAGGATGAGCACTCATTCCATGCTCAGCTAAAGGAACAGGGAAGCACATTGTGAAGAATGTTGGGGGGGGGGGTTCATGATGGAAAGAGACTCATTAACTGCAGTGTTTTAAAAACACACTGAGAGTGGATCTTTTGACGCCAGCCATCCTTTCATTGATGTGTTTGTACTTAGTAGAACAAGAGCCCCTGGATACTCTGTATCTCCACATAGAAAAGAGCCACTGGATACTCTGTATCTCCAC